ATATATATATATATATATATATATATATATATATATATATATATATATATATATATATATATATATATATATATATATATATATATGAAAATGTATTTTTGTTAGGTAACTAGATAAGACATAGCTACTATAAGGAACTTTTAAGTTCCATCCATTATGTATATATTTCAGTAGCAACACATTGCAACGCACACCTAACATTATGAAATATATACATTTGTGTGTCTGCTAGAACATCAGAAGCAATGCGAATTTGAAAACTGTTTTAAAAAAATACAGTGAAGTATATTCCACATACGACATTTCCAACACAGAAATCACAGACGTAATATCGACATTGTGCTACATAACAAACATTTAAGAAAAATTTTTTTAGTATAAGATGTTTGCCATGCCACTGATAAATCAGGCATTAGTTGTTGGACTCCCATTTTTATAGACCAGTTGGTACACAATGGGTGGTTAAGCCAGTCGCTTTTACTTTTCAGGAAATTTCCTGGTACTCATTTTAAAAAGGGTCAACCTGGAAGACACTGCCTTTTAATTAAAGAAATCAGCACCGATATGGATTTGAATCCAAGACTGTCAATCTGGCACACAAGTATCTGGCCACTGTGTAGTTATGGCTTCCATAACAAACACCACAATGTATTGAAAATCCTGATTCTAGCTTACACATTTTAAACACCTAATTGAACAGCAAAGTATGTGCAGCAAGATGGCTAATCAAGCAAATGCAGACAGTTATATAGAAAATGTATGACTTCAATAACGGTCAGTGTACAAACAGCAAAATGAGGTTCACTCCTGTGCAATAATGAAAAGTTATCTTTCTCTAATGAGAAACACAAAAACCTAATATCAGGCAGCAATCACAGCAAATATTTGGTCTTTGAAAAAAAAAAAAAAAACTAAATGTGCCTGTGAAAATGACACATTCTGTAAATTTCTCATCTGAGCCAGAAGAAACAAGTCACAACCAAGCGGTTTCGGTTATTTAACAAACATACTTATTTTTGGTTACACAACAAAAATTTTAAAAATTTGGAATGACTTTCAAGAGGTCAGGAATGTTATCACATTGCTTGAGTCCTTTAAAAAAAATCAAAAGCAATCGGTTTCAAATTTGGTTTTAATGAGCTTATGTCTTACCTGGGGCACAACAATGGAAATGTTCATGCTAAGAAAGCAAAGTTTTTACGTAAGGACTTTACATTTGGAATTGTCCATCAAGCAAACACATTTTATGAGTATTTTCAGTATTCATCACTCTGAAAAGTGACCAATAAAGTGGAAACATTGTCAATAAAAAAGATCTGAAGCTATACAGTATAAGCGGCATTTGATCCAGAGTAAACATATTTAAAACATTGCAGCTTGTCTAGAAGCTGAAACATGCACTGCTGTTTTGCACCGCTGTTTGTAACTATTCAAGCATTTTACAATGAGCATGTAGCCAACTGTCGGTAAACAAGACTATTCCTATGTTTTACAATAAGACAGTAACTAGCTGTTGTACACCAGACAATGAAAAAGTATAGTTTTAATTCTCTCAGTCTCCAGCAATGGGATTTGTGTGACTGGCCGTTCTCTTTGAATCCCAGCCATCACGTAATGCGTTCTCTTATTTTTTTTACATTTGGCAAGAAGATGCTTAGAAAAATATCATAATAGTTTTATACAGCTTCTACACAGTATGTTAACACTCATTTTCTCAAAGCAATTTTATAATAATTAGGGAACATGCAAAAAAGCTACTTTTGCAGACGCAGTTCTCATTCTTGTTTTAATCTCTAAAATGCAGCCTGTCTCAGACGATATAACTATTCCAAGATTGTTGTGTTGATTTATGTGTTTAAGACCTTTCTCATTTACATGGCTGTTTCGCTGTGGTCTTTCTTCTTAGTAATGACCATGATGGCTGTTTTCTTACAATTTAAATTTATGCTCTTCGCCCTCTGCTGCAAATTCTTCTGCATCAGAAGTTTAAAAAAAATCTCAGAGCAGCAATACTTGAGTACAATGCTCTTAGTGCTATCTGGAATATATCTTTCTACCAATTTAAACATCAAAGGATAGAATGGCCACCTTGACCTTAGACATTTCATACTGTTGTAGAGTTTCTCTGTTGCTATCTTTCCATCTTGGTATACCTCAGGGTCTACGTCCCTCTCCTCTTGCATGTATATGCCTCGCAATCTCTAAATGGTGTTTCTATGTAATTCGGTTATTTGTTTTAAATAGAACATTCCTTATAACCTCATTTCTGACCCTATATCATCCAATCACTTCTTTAGGCATTTCATTTTCTTGATGACTAATTTTGAAATCACACAATTATGTTTTAATTCAAGCATTACATACACGGATCACTGCCACAATAAATGTATACAGTATATCTCATACTAACAGAAGGGGTTCTATATTATATGTATACAAGTATGCAGTATATCTCATACTAACAGAAGGGGTTCTATATTAGCATGATTAATTACTGTTAGGTGTTAATAAAAATTCTATTTATTTAACATTTAACAGAATAACTATTTAATTACCCATGCTTTCTTTGATTAGTTTGATAGAAAGCATGTGCTGCTTTCATAATTATCTAGATGCCATCTACTAAGAGTTTGGTTTCAGCTTCATTCATCTCCTGTTGTATGGTGGGAAAAAAGTTGACCAAGTTCAACTCTACAGCTTTTACTGCGAGCAGCATTTAGTTATACTGTGGTCTGGTTTTTGTGTTTGCCAATTTGGTTAAAACGGGAATTATATTTATAAACTACTAAATAGAGCAAACAGTTACTCGTGCTTGTCTTGATACGTTTCAAAGAAAGCATATGCTGCTCTGATACTTATCACTAGACTTTACAGTGAAGTTTTCATACTAACTGAGTTTGCACAAAGGATGTTATAGAATGTAATAGATAAATACAGAGCCTCTGCTAGCATGCATGCATGCGTGTGTGCGTGTGTGAATTACATTTTTTTAAATATCTTCTTCTTTTCTCTACTCCCGCAATACTTCACCACGTCAGAGCAGGAAGAGCTCTCTGGAAAGAGACCTTCTGTTTGCTTCGTATAAAGTACTTTTCAGTGTCTCTGACACTTCTGAGGTCATTCTTCTGCTTGGTCGACCTCTGGCTTTGTTACCGCTGTATCTGTATAACTCTGCTCTCTGTGGTGCCCTGTCTGCCTACAATATTGTTACACGGCCAAACCATTTGTTTTGCTGTCTACCTATAAAGTTCATTACTGGTTCTGTGCTGATTCTCCTCCTGATATCATCATTTCTCGTTACACCTAACAAAAACATGGAAAACATTCCATTTCTGTCATGACTATTTTTACAAAGCTGAGCTGAGCTGTGAGAGTGAGTGTGTGCGCACACACATGTGACAAGAATGATAACACTGATGTTTGCTTAGGTTGGTCTCTGTGAGGTGCAAATCCATGTAGATATGAACATCAGTATCAAGTTTTTTCCCTTAACCCCAGTTGGGAACTGAGCCCATTAACCCCAGTTGGCAATTGAGCACATTAACCCCAGTTGGCAACTGAGCTAATTAACACAATACATGCTAACTTAAAGCAGCAAACCTGCCTTGGGAATGTCTTAAGAATGATGCTTTGGTTTCAGCTGTTTTTGACATTTACAGAATTAGTAACTTTACTTTAAATTTCCCATTAATCCTATGTACATGTGGCTGGTCTGTATCAAAACTTTAAAAATGTATTTGTTTGTCTTGTAATCACATGGGTAACAATAAGAGCTCTTTCTGTATTCTAAATTCCTACAGATATCATCTTCTCCAGCATTCTGAGCCACTGAGGTTTATTGCTCCAGATATCACCTGCCTCCATCCATCTCTCTTGAGTGGCCTTTTCTTTCCAGTTGGTGACTGTAAGTGTTTCTACATAGGCATGTTTCAGCATCGATTCTTTACGTGTAAAAATGTAAGAGCTTACAAGTCATATTTCATTTTTAAGTTTTTACCAGATTTAGGTCTTTGTATTTACACTGCAGGCTCATACAGAGGTATAATGTTGTAATGCTATACATTTATTAAGTTCTCCTAATATGAAGTGTTCCTGTAGTAAAAATAATGTTCAAAGATGATTTGCTTGCCATGGTTAAGGCTTTAGCATATCACAATTAAATTACCACAATTCGTTACAATTAATACTGTTAATACCATTCAATATTGTCTTTTAGTTATCACAAATATTTTTTTTTTCAAATCTTGAGATAACAATTTATAATTTATATTCTGAGCTAGCAATACTGTAGAAAGATCAATTCTTCACTGGTTTCAACAGATGATATCAAGTATTTGTGGATACAGAGGTTTCAATCATGATTTAAAATTCAAATTTACCATGACATCATTATTGTGTAAAACAATCATTTACTTTACAGATGTTGATTAAATGGATATATCCTTTTGAAACCATCGAGAACACAGCACAAGTTCCATCTAATCCATTAGGTTTTATCATATAACTTCCTCCCACAGGTCAGAATTGCATGACTTCAGAAACATACAAAAGTACAAAGTGTGTGCATGGAAAATGGCAAGTTAACTGCCAGCTTAACTAATATGTGCTTCTAATTAACATTAACTTGGTTCACCATATGACAGACATGAGTTATTGTTAACTCTCGCTGTAGGAATAGCAAAACAATATACTATATGAATGCATTATGTTGATTTTACACATAATGAATTTCAAACTCCTGTTTGAGAGAAGAAGAGAAATCTTATTACTGTCATAACTGCACCTAGCATACTTCGAAAAGTAAACAATATCGTTTATTTCACAGGTTGTCACTTAATTATTTTAAACCTTTAACTTTAGATTAACTTTTGGCTGTCATGTTTTTCAGCATTATGAATGACAACACTCTTGCTGCTTGCCTCTGGTGCAAAATCTGGCATATCTATAGTGAGATAAATCTTTCTTGTGAATGTTACTGAAGACTGCAGTTGTTATGCAAACTACTCTTGATCCATGTACTCTTGTACAATCTGGTGTAGAAACTTGTACTGCTCCTGTGCAAGAAATAAACCATTATTTAATAGTCGGTACTCAGAATCTCACAGCAGCAAGCAGAGCCAACAATTAACAACTCCAATATACTCTACAACAAGCCAATGGGACACTGTAAACAAAAAGAGTTAAAGTCACAGAACAATTGATCTGTGTTTCAAAGAAACAAATTACGACATCAGCAGCTTTTACAAGCTTGAAAAACATATGGAACTCTAAATTGTATAGTGTTAAAACCGTTAACACATTTTCAGTTCTAATGTTATTTCAATGTTAAAATATGCCAGTGAACGTTGGACAACCACTAAAGACATGGAATGAAAATTAAATGCAATCCCTCCCCTCTTCCCCCCAAAAAATGCCTGAGGAAAATGATGAACATAAAATGAGATAAACTCAAGAAGGGTGAAGAAATAAGAAAAATGTCTGGGCAACCACTAGTATCAACAGTTAAAAGACACAGAAGATAGCATTGCACTGGACACATTCAAAGAAACAAGCAAAGAATCAGCCAAACAGGCAATGAAATGTGAAGATATCGAAGTGATTGCACAAGATAGAATAGAATGGAGGAATAGACTGCCCCACGCAAAATATATAAGGGCATAATAGGACAATGAATGAATAACATTCACATACAAAATCGGCAATGAAACAAAATTGTAAATAAAATCAACTGTAAGTTTTGCTAACGCATGTGTAGGTACTAGCCTGGGGATCAGAAGTTCAAATCTGCATCTGGAGATTTTTAAACTTGAATACTTTGGATCCTGTCTAAAAATGGGTACCAGGAAATGTTGTGGGAAGGTGATATCCTGATACTGATCACATCACTTACTGAGTACTAACTGGCATATAAAAATATGGCATCATAAGTCCGAATCACATCATGATGTGGAAAAAAATCATTTACTTCACTCACCAGTCACTCTCCTACATTCACACTTCATTAACACATGCGGCTGTTTTTTTTTCCTTCCAAGATTTTTAATTCTTGATCAAAATATTTTTGCAGTGACCAACTGCCATACAGTCGCATGCCTGTGGGCCTGGTGGTCATAGGGTCAACTGCACACCGAGATAAGGTTTTAAAAATTACAAGGGGCTCTCAGGTTGACTTAGACTATAGTGGGTACTGAGAAATGTCCTGGGAAGTAAAAGCAGTCAGCATGATCCTGGCCAAATAACTGTAGAGTGCTGACTTCTTCTTCTTCTTCAGCATTCTGAGCCCTTGAGGTTCATTGCTGCAGATATCACCCGCCTCCACTCATCTCTCTGGTTGGCCTTCTCTTTCCAGTTGGTAACATCAAGTGATTGCAGGTCTCTCTGGACATTATCTCTCCATCGTCTTCTTGGTCTGCCTCATGGTCTACGACCATTCATCTCCCTTGTGCATACAGTTTTAACTCTCTGTCATCTGACATTCTCTCAATATGCCTTAGCCATTTCAACCTATTAGCTCTCATGATGCCAATGATCAATGGTGATTTAAAAGGATTATGAATTTTGTTGTTGCTTATCACTCTCCATTCCCCGCTGTTTACATCTTTGTTAGGTCCAAAGATTCATCGTAAGACTCTGGTTTTGAAAACCTGTAATAAGCCTTCATCTCTTTTAGTTGTGCTCCAAGTTTCAGAGTTTCATCAAGTGTATTCTATTTAATGCTTCACTCTGAATCAGTCAGTCAGCTGCAGAATCTTGCTCCCAAAATAACTTTCTGGAAAACTTCTCGATCACAAGTAAGATTTCCAGCGTCCGATACACCTATGTGGAGATCATCTGCCACATTCTGCATCCATCTTCTCTTTGGCCTTCTTTTTCATCTCTTCCCAGGCATATACCTATCCATTACTGTTCTCTCTAAACTTTCGTGACGTTTCAAGTGACCAAAATATTTAAATTTTCTGTGTTTTTTCGTCTTTAATAGTCAACCTTCTTTTATATTCAATTCTTGAAGTATGGATGCATTTGTTCTTTTCTTTACCCATGATATTCTTAGAATCTGTTTATAACATTTGTATTCAAAGGCATTTATGGGCTGTTTAGCTTGTTTAGTAAGTGTCCAGGTCTCACAGGCGTATGTCGCAATGGGAAAGATACATGCTCTTAGAAATGTAATTTGTGTAGTTCCATCTGACCCACTCCATAATTTAGTCTTTGAAGAGCAAGGGATAGTCATTGTTTCTTTTCTTTAATTGTGTCACAATTGTTGGTAATCAATGACCCAAGATATTCAAATTTGTTCACCTCTAATCTTTCCTCCAAAATGCTGAGAGAAGAAATACAATCTAGAATACAATCTGGAAATAAAGTATACTATGCCCTTTAACATCTGCTAAAGTCAAAGTGTCTGTCTCGCAACACCAAGATCAAAATATTTAAAATATTGATAAGACCAGTCATTTTATATGGCTCTGAAACTTGGAGCACAATTAAAAGAGATGAAGCCTTATTTGAACAAAAACTGTATACACGAGGGAGATGAATGGTCGTAGACCATACTGAAACATGTATGTAGACCAAGAAGACAATGAAGAGATCATATCCAGACAGACCTGCAAACACTTGGTGTCGCCCACTGGAAAGAGAAGGCTAACCAGAGAGATGAATGGAGGCGGGTGATATCTGCAGCAATGAACCTCAAGGGCTCGGAATGCTAAAGAAGAAGAATCTTTCCTAACACATATTTCTTTCTCCATAGCAGTTTTATCTTTGTTTATGCCATGTTAAGATATATATTAATCACTCTGATTGGATTTACTGATTACCCTCTTCATATATTTTGAAATGAATTAAAAAAAAAAATCCTTGATAAAGACGTTTAAAACAAATAAAATAGTGACATATAGAAAGCCTTTCAAATTATTTTTCCTTACAAAATAGCATGGGTTCATGACTCATTATTTAGTGTTAAATGGGTAAGGGACTCCTTTTTCATACCTTGAGGAACATTGGACATAAATGACTAGATCTATATTTTATAGATCCATTGGAACTGGGCGGGTGATGTGGTCAGCATGACGCTGGCCGCTTTTACTTTCCAGGACTGTACCTGGTACACACTCACAGCTGGGGCAACATGACAGCTAAGGTCATTTTAAAAAAAAGTTCCGCTCCATCAGGACTTGAACCCACAACCTCCCGATCGGTAGGTGGGCATCTAGCCGCTACACCATGCAGCTCTCATTCACTGGGTGCAAGATTAAATTAAACAAGGAGACTGGCTGCAATGTTTTTCCTGCTAATGTGTGAAAATGAGACTCTCTTATCACTGTCAGAAAGCCACGAGAATAGTCATGTCTCTGTTCTAAACCTCAGGAATCTAACCATGATAAACTATGAAACAAGTTCACCAACCTTAAAGTCACAGAGCCACCCTTTTAACTACTGCTTTACAGTGACAGTATAGTGACAGCACTCAGACACTTACCAAATTTTCTATAAATTGTGGTCGGTTAATCCGAATTTGCTTGACAGTTTGATATACGTCCACTTCATAATCCAGCTCCAGTCGCTCAAGGAGAAGACACATAGCCACAAAAACGCCACTTTTACTTGCTCCATTCCTAGAAGAATGTCTTTTTTTATTAATGTCATAAACAAAGAACACATGCCAGTTCTAAAAAATGTTTTTTTTTTACAACACAAAACTATTATTATTGTATCTGTATTACTGCTAGGGCCCCTGCAACTTGGCACCTGAAAATGCTACGCATGTGCTCCAACACTGTCAACTGTGTGCTGACAATCTGGCCTTTTTCAACCACAGTGAAGATAAAACTGTGATACACAAGAAAATATGGACTGCATGATAGCTTTCATAAAGGCTACCGACCTCCTGATATAAGTTTTCTGACAGAAGGATAGAAGAAGAATTAGAAGCTAATGTAGCCAGAAATATTTTACAATATATTTTGTGTGCCCTAGAGCAACTGCCATGAAGTGTACAGGCTGAGAACTGAATTTTACAATTTAGCCCTGTCACCCCGAGGAAGCCGGTCTTCCTTCCTTTAACAGGTTTTTGATGACATGCCATCTTTTGGGAAGTAATCAATACACCTATATAATAGATTTGGTACTGGTTGTAATTCCAGAGTGTGCACATGTTGTGGGTATTATAGAAAAAAATCAATATTTTGTGGTCATTATAACATCATAATAAACTCGATTTGCAAAAGAATGAATTTCATTTGTAAAAGATAGAATTTGATTTGCAAAAGGCTGAATATGATTTGCCCCCCCCCCCCCCCCCAAAAAAGAGTGAATTTGACTTTCCAGCCCTTAATGACAACCAATTATATCAAAATATGAGGCACAGTTATTTCAGTCATAGGCATGAGGGAAAGTTAAAGTTGCCATGATATGTGTCACGAGATACTCCATACCTCATCTCAGGTGCCTGCAGGCTCTGTGCTGGTTTTACAGATCCTTATGCAAGATTCCTACCAGACATTCTTGGCGTGCATTACAGCCTGAACAGAGTTGTTGGAACCCCTTATATGCCCTACAGCCTAACAGCAAAGTTTCAAATGTCCTACTATGTGACTGACAAGGTTCGGAAGTCCAACTGTCAAATATCCTACTAAGTGACAGACAAGGTTTGTTACCTGACCATCAGGTGTTAAAATGCATACTACCATTGACCCCACTTGTCAAAGTGTCTGGATCATAAAGAGAAGACATGTCTGGTGCACGCTTTTCCTAGACTGTCATGCTAAGTGTCCTGATCCAACTACATTAAAGGTGTCGAATGTGTTGAAGATTTTGCCAATCTGTGTAGCCATCAAAGTCCTGGATCTGTAGGCTGCTCTCTGTTGTTCTGCAAATGGTGCAACCTGTGACGAGTGGGAAGCTCAACAATGATTTGAGGTTAATCAGTCCAATGGAAGACGTGACGATTCCTTGGGTGAACCTTACCACAACACTAAGCGTCGGCTCTTTATTCAGCATTTATGGAGGCCTTCTTGGATGGCAAGGAACACACATGTTCTGCCTTTGCCTTACCCTGACAGCTGACCAGTCTGTGTGTGGTTGCCCTGGACGGGTTGGTTAGGAGTAACACCTGTAGATAAAGAGGATGCCACAAAAATAAGGCTACGTCATGTCCCATGATACCAGCCGGGAATGCTAACCAGATAAACAAATCCTAAAGAAGTAGGATGTGTCGGCCAAAGGCGCAAAAATTTGCAGCTATTCTGTAAACAGGCACAATACAGTTACATCATGCAGACGAAAAATGAAGAAGAAAAAGAAGAAGATAATAAAATATCAAATAACAGAGAGAACTGGAGAGCTATGATCACCAATGTCTGCTCCAGGCCATGCGACACAATAAATGAGAAGGAAAGTGACAATAGAATTTAAAAAGGAAAATCTAATGCCTATATAATCTGTTTTCTGAGGAAATATTAAGTGAAAACATACATGCAGTGTACTGTAACTGGACCCTTGCTGTTTTGTCTCAGCCAATCATTAACCATGTGGTAAAGTCGCAGCAGTGGGCTCACTGAATTTGGTGTGGTTTGGTAGTCTGGCCATGACTTGAACATAAACTGTTTGATAGCTCGCTCCTCACCCTAGAGGACAAAGTATTACACAATCAGAAAGTTAATAAGCTTGTAATATAGTTTACATTATACAAGTTTACAATGATGTGGTAAGGGGTAAAACAAACATGCAAATTATCAAGAATCATTCAGACACGTGACAATGCAGCTTATCCTAAAATGTAAGTAAAATAAGTAAAAGATTATTTACATACCTTTGGCGTATCGGGCATATAGAGCTAAAACTATACTTTTATGAACCAATCAGTAAGTACTCCATGAGTAATGTGGTTACCATCACGCTGGCTGCTTTTACTTCCCACGACATTGCCTGCTAACAATTTTAGGCTGGCTTGGCAGCCAAGGTCAATTTTAAGGGGAAAAGAATCCACCTCGATTCAGATTTAAAACATTCGGAGCAACAGGGTAGTGAATATTATGAAATGGTTAAATGACAGATCAGTCTGTGTTTCCTTCCAAGCTGAGGATTTTTTTTAATGCCATATAAAAAGTTAGCTGCTTATTGGTTACACTTTGCTGCAAACCAACCCCGGGCTCACTGGCTGTTGTGAGGCTTTCCTTGGCAATTTTAAAACCAGTAGCTTGTCACTGCTTTCTACAAAGGTCAAAATCAATACTACCATTACCCTTACTCAGAACCCTGATAGCAAGTGGCCCGTGGATCACTGCCATATCCATATTTTCAATATTCTGGCCCCTAAGTAAACTTAGCTGAATAACCTTGAACTAGAGAAAACAGCTGAAAGTGAGCAGGTCACTACAATTCATACTGAAGTGTACTAGTTTAAACAATATCATCAAAACAATAGTATAAACAATGTTTTCTCACTTTAAAGCATTACAGCAGTGTCTATAATAGGAATAACCCTTTCTCCTAGCTGAAGAGAATTTAGACTAGACACTGGGATGCAAAATACAATAGCACAGACATCAGAATGATTATGAGTCTTAACTAAGAAAGTAAATAATGTATCATATAGGATGGAGAATCAATATTTATGCATTCACAAACAGCTCATTATTGCTTGGTCTCTCCCAGCAGAAACTGATATATGTGGATGTTGATACGATTTATGATGTGAAATAAATATTACTGCACTCATCACCAGCTCATAAATGCTTGGTCTCTCCCAGTAGAAATCAACAGGTATGGGTGTTGAATGCCCGCGCTATTATGAGTAGAAAACCTACAAGTACCAAAAATTACCTTGGCTCTTAGGTCGACCCAGCCTTTAATAGGTACCAGGTAGATTCCTGGAAAGTAAAGGCAGCCGGCATGATGTTGACCACATCATGCACTGAATGCCGATTGGTCTATGAAATACAGGTCTAGCCCTATATGCCTGAAGGCGTGGAAAAGGGTACTTTTCTTTACCTACAAGTTAGAACTTTCCTTACTGATCATGCTGTATATCAGATTTTAGAATACAGTATATAGATCAGAAACCACCCAGTATAAATAATATAAGTAAGTGAGAAACATAAAAGTCCTTTTACATGCCAGTGGTGCTTTGGGTATATGTGGCTAGACTCTATTTGTTTTAGATAAATCGGCCCTCGATTGGTTTGAGGTTTGAGTTTGAGGTTTTGAACAACGGATCAACATCATGGCACATGGGTAGTAACCCATAAGTGCCCTGTTCTTCTTCTAACTCAAGAGTTCGAAGAAGCTCAGCACAGTGCACAGGCTCTGTAGCACCGGCGAGGATCCTGAAATACTTTGGGTAGATTTTAAATTCCAAGTTCTACCCAGGCAACGCCATTAGGCTATTTTTTTTTAAATTTCCAACTGCCGGGGGGGAGGGGGGGGGGGGGGGGGGGACTTTAATATGGCGCAACAATGCACACGGGCGTTGTAGTGAGTCATTTTCTCCTCATTAATTTATGCCCGATAGATGACGTCAGTAATAGATGTAAGACGAATGTTTTGACTGGCTGAGATAACACGAGATTTATGTCTTGAGTTTCATGAGAGACATCTGAAAGTCAGGTTTTATGTGAAACATGATTGTTCACAGGATTTGTGTGAAATGTGAATTATCACGGGCCAGACACGACTTTCAACAGTGGGAAATTCGTGAGAATGAATCCAGAATATTCGAGAACAGGATAGATCAGAGGGCTATATAATAGCGAAGAAAAGGTTTGTGAGCAGTCTCGTTTTGGACCTAGGAACAGTGTGCGTGGACAGCGGTGGATGATGTGTGGATTCAGCAGATGTTTTTGTGAGTGAATTTGTTCCAGTCCAACTTGGCGAAAAAAGCTGGCCAGTAATATGTCTGCGGGTCGTCTGAGTTTGTCTGTCAGGACAGCTGCTGTGTTTCGTTCAAGATGTTAGTGTGATTGTGATTTCTGCTTGAAGGTAATAGTTGACACCTGCATTATAATGTGTGCCTGGACAGTTGTCTAGTTCATGTGCCGGCAGTGTAAGCCGCGAGTGGAAGATTAAAGTACTGGAACAGTATCGTGTTGTTTTTCCAGTCGTCCATTTTTTCTGCTCGTCGAGTGATGTCGGTTTGTGAGATGGCAGCGAGCGTGC